GGCTTCCAGCGACTTCGGCGGTCGGTGAGTGCGGGCGGGGCCGGGCGGCCCCACGCTGCCCACGGGGGATGCTTCGCCCCCAGCGGAGCCGGGCGGAGGATGCTGTGCCCCCGCGGCCCGCCGGTGGGGTCGGGCGGGGGATGCTCAGCCCCCCTTCTGCCCCCCTGGTGGGGCTGGACTCAGGGGGCTCTACCCTTTTTGCCTCCCCTCGGGGATGGTCTGCTTCCCCCGTGGGGCTGGGCCGGTGGGGCTTTGCTACCCGTTGTCCCCCGGGTGGGGCTGGGCGGGGGATGCTCTGCCCTGCCGTGCCCCGCGGGAGGGGGTGCCTCAGTCCGGGACTGCTTTGTCTCCCACCCTGTTACCCTGTGGAGGGGGTGTCTGAGTCAGGGGGTGTGCTGAGCTCCCCCGTTTCCCTTGGGTTGAGTCTGACCTGGGGGCATGTCATCCTCACCCCCGAGATGGGTTGTCGGGGGGACTTGCTGTCTCCCGACATTACCCCCAGGCCGGGGAACTGAGCCAAGGGGTTGCTCATGCCCCCACCGCTGGCCCCAGAGCAGGGGGCTGAGCTAGGCAGATGTGCTGCTCCATCCCTGCTAGGTGTGCAGGCAGGAGGGGCGAAGGGGTGGGCATACCCACACCCCGGAGGCTGCATGGTATGGGAAGGCAGCGATTCCTGTAACCCAGGAGTGGGGAGGGTGGTTCCTTGATTTTCAGCTGCTCTCTGCCCCTGGCAGCCCCCCCAGTATGGTCCCAAGCTGTCCCTTTGCACCCCCCGTCCCCCCATGCTTCCACCTTACGCTGAAGGGGAGGGCAGGCATCCTGGTGAGACTGGTCCTATCCTGGCCTTCTCCTGCTCTTCTGTTTTCCCAGCGCTGTATCCTGCCGCCTCCCTCAGTACTGTCTCCAGCCCTTGAGCATCCGCCCTGTGAGCATCCACCCAGTACCAAGCTCTGGGCTGTATCAGCCCCAGTGAGCATCTGCCTGGCACCAAGCTCCAGGCTGGACCAGCTCATGGGGATGTTCACTAGACAGATTCTTGTGGGGCTGGTTCAGCCTGGAGCTCGGCACCAGGTGAATGCTTGCCAAGCTAGTCCAGCTCAGAACTGGGCAGATGCTCACCAAGCTGGTCCAGCCTGGATGTTGGCACCGGGCAGATGGCCACTGCGCTCAGGGCTGGACCAGCCCAGCGAGCATCCAGCCAGCTTGGCTAGCTCCAGCTGTGCTCATACTGGTTCCCATCCTCTGTCGGCTGGTGCCGTCTCGTCATGGCCATGGCAAGCTGCCTCCAGACACCGTGGTTTTCTCCTGAATAACACCAGCCGTTTAAGGGCTTGTTTATCCCCTAAATTGCATCATTATAACAGCAATTGGCTTAGGAAGCTGGGTTTTGTTAAAGCTGTGCAAAACCTTCTGGGGACATCGTGGTTTTGGCCAAGTCAGGGTTGGCAAAGGTTTCTTTTAAGCTCGTTTGCCACCATCTGCTTGTACGCTGGAATGAGGTTCTCCTGGTGTGTTTGACACCACTATGCCATTTCATGAGCACGAGGTAGTACAGAGGCAAGGTGTGAGCTGGAGTTTGGTACCTGGATGAACGTGCCTGTGTGGTTCAGGAGTTTCTTGACTGTGGTGCTGCCCAGGACTTTAGAGGACATGGTGTCTTTGTAGCTCTGATGGTCTGGGAGTCTCAAGTATCTGTGCTCTTGGAGACGCCACAATGTGCTGCTCCTTGCAACTAAGGTCGGTGCTGGTTGGGAAGTGGGACTGATTTCTGGGGGCTTCCCTGGAGATTTGTCGGGGAGCCACCAGCACCAGTCACTAGTGCGCTCCCCCAGGCACCCAGAAATGCTCAGGTGCATGGATGACTTCCCAGCTTCGGTGCTTGCTCCTCCTGCATCTCTTTTCGAGGACACAGACCGGAGGTTGTCTGGGACCTACATCACCAGCTGGAGGGTAGGGGGGAGCCCCTAAACTGGCAGGTTCCTGAGACATCGGTGGTGGGACTGATGGACAGATCTGGCTTTTCCGGGTGGCCAGCTCAGCTGTGGCTTGGCAGATGTGGAATTAAATGACTCGTCCATCTCTGTGCAGATTGCTGGCTTCATGGTGAGGGTGAGCGGATCTTGCTCTGCACTGGTGGCTTGGTCCAGCTGGGTCTCAGT